GGGGGGGAGGGGGGAAAGCATTGAGCCCAGTTTGAGAACTCTTCAAACACCAGAGCCGAGGTCCCACTAGCAAAGAGGATTTGGAATTAACGACTGGATATGAACGTCTTTGAGGAGAGGTGCAGACAGTTGGGATTGATCTGTCTCTCTCTGCATCTCTGCTTAAAACCTATCCAGATGCAGGCGTGCAATCCATTCCTCTTTGCTAGTGGGACCTCGCCCCAGATTATTTTCTGCAATCCATTAGCACGTTTTTTTTTCTCGTTATTTCGACTTACAAAATCCTTTTTTTTTGGTGGCAACGGGGAGTCTTAAATTTTGGAAAATCACCCAGACCATGTGGCGGAATGGTAAGCCCATCAACTGTTGATATGCAGATCGAAGTTCGAGTCCTTATGGACTCAGAGACTCAGATTTGTAAGATTACAATCCAAGAATAGCAATATAATAATAATAGTAATAATAATAATAATAATAATAATAATAATAATAAATTTAGAAAATCCATTTTGTTGGAGTTCAGCATATTCGCATTACCTCACTGATATTCGTTTCCCGCCTCACTAATTTTTAACCTCGTCACTTTGTACCGGGTGCAGATCATGCACTTGGCCGTCGTTACCGCCAGGTGCAGATATTTATTCAAACATATTTTCCCAACGGACAGCCGGGTGCAGATCATGCACTTGGCCGTCGTTACCACACAGTACATCCTGATGATCCTATTTCTCAAAACATTACGAGAAAGCTCGTCACAATTTCATTTTTTATTATTTTTATTGTCAACTCGTCATTCTTTATTCCAGCTATTTTATAAACCAATTTCCCCTTTCTGTTTCTTCTTCCCCCACCTCCCCCTCCCCTTCCCCCTCCCCCTCCCACTCACCCGATGACAAGGGAGCAAAGCATTGATGAGCACGCCACGGCCCCCTTCATCCTCAAGGAGAGATTCGAGCATTTCCAGGCACTGCTGCAACCGTCTCTGCCTGATTAGTTTTCCATGCAAGCGCACAGCCACGCCGACTTCAACGCCCTTCACGGCGATGGGCTGTCTGGACTCTGCTGACGTGGCATGCCATGACGTTGCCACGTCATCATCCCGTTGCTTTTCCAGCCAATCTATCATCCTTACGTTCTCGCTCAGCAAGAAGCTCTTCGCATGCTCGCCGCCTGTCCGATCATCATCATCAGCAGCAGCACTGACCGCCGCGGAAAACTCTGAAGTCAGTGCCACGTCAGCAGCATTCACCCCAGGGATTGCACGTGCACGCCACGTGTCACAATGCGATTCCCCCAACGGCGGGCCGAGCCACGTGGCTCGTTCGCCGCCGAGATCGCGGTCCAACGACGACGACGCCCCTCCCTCCGTCTCCGTATCCTCTCTCACCCTGAACTGACACGTTGATCGGTTGCGGTTCCTCCAGCGGCCACGTGGCTCTACCGCCTCCTCCCACTTGTAGCCGCTGCGTGACACGCCACGTGTCATCTTCCCTCTCGAAGATCCCACCGCCGTTCGCGGTTCGCCATTGCCCCTGTCTCTTATACACATCTAGATGTGTATAAGAGACAGCTCTCACCCTGAACTGACACGTTGATCGGTTGCGGTTCCTCCAGCGGCCACGTGGCTCTACCGCCTCCTCCCACTTGTAGCCGCTGCGTGACACGCCACGTGTCATCTTCCCTCTCGAAGATCCCACCGCCGTTCGCGGTTCGCCATTGCCCCTCAGTGCCACGTGGCAGCATTCACTGATGCTGCCACGTGAAACTGCATTTGACGACGGACTCCGTGAACGGTTCCTCACGCCAGTCTGCCACGTGGCACTACCTGCTGCCTCCACGTGGCACTGCTGCTTTCTGCTACTTCGCATTATCGACTCGATCGGGGCAATCGAGGGACCTTCGGCGCGGGAGGTGGCTGCGATACGGCAATCCCGACACAACGTGGCGAGCCAAGGAGACTGCCACATGGCAGCGATCCCGGCGGACCGACTCCGACTGCGACGGCACTGCCACGTGGCAGCGATCGCGGCGGAACGACTTCGACTGCGACGGCAGGTGGCTTCGGAAAAACGGCCATCCCGACACAACGTGGCGAGCCAGGGAGACTGCCACGTGGTAGCATTCCCGGCGGAACGACTTCGACTGCGACGGGACTGCTGTCTTACAATGGAAGAACGGGGACCACGACTGCAGAGAAACCAGTTTGCCACGTGGCATTCGTCTGCTCCACAGTTGAGCGGGTCGGGACATGCCACGTGTGAAAGATCGGCATTCACTGCCAAACTCAACGGATGAGTGGTCTCACAAAGCCGCCGGCTGGTGGGTCGGGATCCGGGTCTTGATAAATCCCCACCAGGCGGAACAGCCCGAGACGTGCCGCGACCGCGATGAAGCACAACAGGCTGCAAAGCGGAAAGACCAGCGCAAACGCAAACATCGGCGGTGGAAGAAGACGAAGACACCATAGCTATAACTCTCGAGGGCACCTCCATCGCCATCGACGTTTGTACGAGACGATAGCAATCCAATCAGCAAATGGCCTCTTGCACACGTCAGACACTTCCAGAAAACGTTACTCTTCCTGTATCCACGGCCATCATCCAGTCAGGAGAAAAAGAGAAGACTGACGGAATACGCACACTGGGACTTTTTCTACTGCGCTCGGGACTTGATTGCGGCCAGATTCATCCAGAATCGGCCGTAATTACGGTTAGATACATTTCGGGCAGTGCCCGAGTGAGTATCCCCTCAGAAGACATCATGCTAACCCACGGAACATTGCTCGACTCCCCTGTAACTCCTTTCACTTCAGCGAGAGAGGGC